ACATGAAATGTGTAAATTGTAAAGGCAAGCACCCTGCGTATTCTAGGTCATGTGAACATTTCAAAAAGGAAAAGGAAATTCTGACGCTGAAGGTAAAAGAAAACATCTCTTATCCCGAAGCAAAACGTCGCCTCTTGGGTTTTCAGAGAGGCTCTTTTGCCGAGGTGGTGCGCCGGGGACCTGCACCACCTATGGCGTCTGTGGGAACGCAAGTGTCTTATGGGGACCTTGCTCAACCACTTAAGTCCTCTGGTCCCAAACTGAAGGTGCAACTCCCAGGGCGCGCTATCTCAGCTGCCCGGGCAGGTGCCCTCCCCAGCCGTGCGAAAGGTTCGGATTTATTATCCGAGCAGACGGAGACCACCCCGTCGCAGAAGAAAGGCACCTCTGGAGCAGTGCACACTGCTCTACCTCGAGATAACAGGGTGGATGCCGGTCCGTCGGGATCCACCCGAGCACAGGGGTCTGCGTTCCCTGCACAGGGTTCTGCACCCCCTGCTTCTCCGTTCCAGCCACCACGAGGTCGGGGACTTGGTCCCTCTGCCCCTGGTGGATCTCGGAAACCGGGGGAGCCGTCGAGGTTACAGGCCTCCAAGGAGGAGCCCCTTTTGGCTCCAGCTGAGCCAATGGACGAGAGTGGGTCAAGGTCTGACGAGGACAGACCCCACTCGAGCTCCGAATCTCTACTTCCGGCCTCCGGTGGCACCACGGGCAGGCCGAATGACACCTCCAAAAAGAAAAATGCTCCGCGTGTAAAGATTGATTTAAGTCGTAAAAAAATTTGTTTACTCTTGAGTTAATTTTAATTTTATTTTTTATTATAAACGTTACAATGGTCCACAATTTTAGCATTATGCAGTGGAATTGTCGCGGCCTTTTTCGCAACATTGATGACATACATTTTTTTCTTGATGAGCTCCGTCCTGTGGCCTTATGCCTACAGGAGACTTATCTGAGTGACACCCACACAAAAGTGTTACGTCGTCATCAGGTTTTCCGAAAGGACCGCATTTCATCAAACCCTTCGGGTGGTGTAGCAGTGGTAGTGCAGAGTGGAGTTGCCTGTGCTCCAGTCCCTCTACAGACTCCCCTTGAGGCGGTTGCAGTTCGAATTCTTCTGGACCGCCTCATTACCCTTGTTTCACTCTACTTGCCTCCCAACACTCCGCTGCATTTGCAAGAACTTCAGGGACTCGTCGCCCAGCTACCCGAGCCCTTTTTAATTCTTGGCGATTTTAATTCCCACCACCCCTTGTGGGGTAGTCCTCGACAGGACTCTCGTGGTGGAGTCATTGAGCGACTTTTATTATCATCCGGGTTATGTCTTTTAAACCAAAAAGAAGCAACGTTTTTTAGTGCCGCCCATAACACTTACAGCTATTGATTTGTCCCTGTCATCACCATCGTTACTCCCATGTTTTTCATGGAAGGTTTTAAACAACCCTTTTGGCAGCAATCATTTTCCCATTATTTTAGAGAGCGTTAAGCCAATTCTATTGATTCCTACTCGCCTTCCCAGGTGGAAGTTAGAGAATGCCGATTGGTCTATTTTTGAATTAGAGGCTGTGATTGATCCATCTTTGCTTCGTACTATGAGCCCCGACAATGCGACAGTTTATGTCACTGAATGTATAATTAGTGCAGCTTCGAATTCTATTCCTCAAACATCTGGACATCTTCCTAAGAGATGCAAACCGTGGTGGACTAAGGAGTGCACAACCACTCCCAAGGACCAGAATAAAGCCTGGGGAGTTTTTCGTCGGTACCCTACCAATCAAAACCTAATTGCATTCAAGAAAAGTTGGGCTAAGGCGAATTGGACACGAAACCAGGCTAAGAAGGTTTCATGGACCAAATATGCCTCTTCTATAAATAGCCTTGTTCCACCGAAGGAAGTGTGGGACCGCCTGCGAAAAGTCCGAGGCGACTATCAACCTTTCCGAATCCCTCTTTTTCCCTTGCCTACCGTATCTCTCAAAGACCAGGCAAATGTTCTTGGTATGCACTTCCAACATATATCTAGTTCTTTCCACTTTAGTGTAAAGTTTCAGAAGTTTCAGTCTACTGCTGAAAAGCAATCAATCTCGATGTCGGGATATGACCGGGCAGCTTACAATAGACCGTTCAGTATGTGCGAACTGGAAGTGGCGCTGGGTGTAAAAAAGCAGTCTGCCCCAGGCCCAGACAGGATTCATTACGAAATGCTGAGGCACTTGTCCCCAACATCATTAAGTCATTTGCTTATGTTTTTTAATCATCTATGGAAAGTAGCTGCTTTCCCTCGATGCTGGAAAAGCGCCCACATCATTCCTCTTCTGAAGCCTGGTAAAGACCCCTCTCTTCCAGCGAGTTACCGTCCCATTGCGCTCACTAGTTGTCTTGGGAAGACTTACGAAAGGCTCATCAACCGGCGTCTGGTGTATTTTCTGGAGGAAGAAAATATTTTGGACATTAATCAGTGTGGGTTTTGGGAGGGACGATCAGCCACAGACCATTTGGTTCGTTTGGAGACTTTTATCCGTGAGGCATTTGTACATCGGCAGCATTGTGTCTCGGTATTCTTCGACCTGCAAAAGGCCTATGATACCACATGGAGGTATGGAATTCTTCGGGATCTACACAACTATGGGGTACGAGGCCGCATGCTCCAGTGTATACAGAATTTTTTAAGCGACCGGACTTTTCAGGTCCGCTTGGGTTCTACACTGTCCGATGTGTTCCCCCAGGAAAATGGAGTTCCTCAGGGAGGAGTTTTAAGTGTTACTCTGTTTGCTGTAAAAATTAACAGTCTTGCAAGTGTGATTCCACCTTCTGTGTTTTACTCATTGTATGTGGATGATGTGCAGATCTCCGTTTCTTCTTGCAACCTCTCTAGCTGTGAACGACAACTACAACTTACTGTCAATAGGATGAGCAAATGGGCAAATGAAAACGGTTTCACTTTTTCTCCCGAAAAAACTGTCTGCGTTCCCTTTTCGCTTCGCCGGGGATTGTCCGTTGATCCTTCTTTGCATTTAAACCACATTGACATACCTGTTCGCCAGGAACACAAATTTCTGGGCATAATCCTTGACAAGAAGCTCACTTTTGTACCTCATTTGAAAGAATTGAAGCGCAAATGCTTAAAATCATCAAACATTCTCAAGGTGTTGTCCCACAACTCGTGGGGGTCCGACAGGCGCTGCCTCCTGCGACTCTACAATTCCTTAGTTCGGTCTCGCCTCGACTATGGTGCAATTGTGTATGGATCTGCATGTCCATCTACACTAAAGATGCTGGATCCGGTTCATCACCTGGGGCTCCGACTGGCTACAGGTGCTTTTCGCACATCACCTGTGTTGAGTTTATATGCAGAAACCTTTCAGATGTCTCTCGAGAAGCGTAGACAGTACCTTAGCCTTTCTTATGCTTGCAGGGTCTATTCTGACCCGCAACATCCATCCTACACTAGTATTCGTACCTGTCGATTCTCTCAACTTTTTGAAAACAAGCCACGTATCGTGCGTCCTATTAACTTCCGCATTCAAAGCCTTTGTGCCTCCCTCCAGTTTCCACTGAATGATGCTGTCATACTAAAGCACAAAGAAAAAGTTTCTCCATGGGACGAATTGCCGATTTTTTGCGACTGGTCGCTCACAAAGTATGATAAACGGGCTATTTCCCCTCAAGTCCTGCAGCAGGAGTTTCAGTCGATGCAGGAGACATATAGAGATTATACTGAATTCTATACTGATGGGTCGAAATCTTCATCTTTTGTTGGTTGTGCCGTATATTCTAGTTCCTTTGAGAAAGCTTTACGAATGGATGGTATGGCAAGCATTTTCTCTGCAGAGCTTTATGGTGTCTCTCTAGCCATTGAACATATCACGAGTAACAAAATATTAAAGGCTATCCTTTTTGTCGATTCACAAAGCGTGATGCAAGCTGTCTCTTCTAGACTTCCCACAAAGAATCTTCTTGTACTACATATACGGTCCAAAATAAACCGGGCTCTCAAACTCGGACACACCATAATATTCTGCTGGGTGCCCAGTCATGTTGGAATTCCAGGGAATGAGCAAGCAGATAAACTGACTGCAGGTGCAAAGGACTCGGCAACATCTCTTGGGTTACCCTATCAGGACCTTAGGCCCCTTTGGAAGAAATCACTTTTGAAGGCATGGCAGTCGGAGTGGGACGCGGAGAGTAACAATAAACTTCATGTCATTAAGCCCATCTTGGCTCTGTGGGAGAGCTCATTCCTTAAGGAACGTCGACTGGAGGTTCTATTATGCCGCCTGAGGATTGGCCATTCACGTCTGACTCATCTACATCTTCTTTGTGGCGAAGACGAAAAGCTCTGTCCTCATTGTGGAGAAGTACTGACAGTTTTGCACATTTTATGGCATTGTAGATTTCATCACCAACATCGCCGACAAAGTTTTCCTGAACTTTTTAGAGGTCACCTTCCATTTCATCCTATGTTTTTGCTTGGTGATCATCCTTTAGTGCCACTTAACCGTGTTATTGACTATCTTAAAAAGACCGGATATATACATCAGCTGTAACTTTTACCATGAAAACCTTAATATCTCTTTTCTAGTATAGCCGTTTTAAGTAATTTTGTCTGGCGCAATATAGCCAAAGTCGCTCTTGCGCCATTAAAGGGGCCCTCCGGAGCGTTCTGCGATGGTCTATATATGGCGGTAACTCAATCTATGGGTCCTAAGGATCCTAAAAATCGTAAAATTACAGTCATGCGCGGCGGATTTCCCTACTAAAATTGCTATCAAAGTCCCCGGCACGCCCCCCTTTCTGAGATGACCCCGGAAAACGGGAGGGGCATCTCTTTACGCATCAGCCAATGGCAATCGAAGGATTCCAGTGTCACTGCGCGTCACCGACCGCCGACCCGCGGAGGAATCTCTCCAACGCGCGGACCGTCGTCAAGGGGCCCGGACCAAAGTTGCCCGGACTTTGTGCTCAGCATTCGTCGTTCGTCGCATCCCACGTTCGCGCTATGGACCTTTCGGACCTAACGTCTCTAGAGCTCGAAATCCTGGAACGGACAGCTGACATGGGTGCCATATCCTACGATTCGACCCCGATGCGCGACGTCGACGAACGCAGCGCCGCGGGCACCGACTGTGGCAACGACGAACGGCCGCGCTGCGGTGAAGCGAGTCCGCAAGAGCTGGAAGACGCACCCGACGATGGAACCGGGCGGCTTGGGAACACGGACTGGTACGTGGTGCGCTCCATTATACCCCGCTTTAATGGGTAATTGATGCGTGTTTTCTGCGAAGGTGTCTATGTGGTTCCTGCGCGCTGATGGAGACCGTCGTCGAGTGCGTCTGCTGCCGCGAATACCCGGCCGTCGCACGGAAGCAGCAGGGCCGGCAGGGCTGTGTAACGGGCCACCCGGACTTCGAGGCCCTGTGCCTCAACCCTGAGGTGTTGAGGTTGGCCTACCTCAACATGCGGCACTACGGGCAGCAAGGGATGGGCGCAAGTGCCAGCGAGTGAGTACGATGTCATGCTTTGCGCGTGAGCAAACTCACCATGTCTCGGTGAGGACCGTGCCCTCGGCAACTACGTTCACTGTCCGATTCACAGCGTACATACGTACTTGTAATAACTTGTTGTTAGGCTAGATGAACGTTTAGCACCATCCTGGGAAGCGGTCGATGAATTGTTTGTGTTGCCGATAGTGAAATTAATCATAACCCCCACTGTCCAGGCGCAATATAGCGCTCCAGGGAGGCTTTCAAGAGACTAAATGAGAAGCAGCCTGCCTAGTTACCACCCAGTCATTTGTTCAATACAGAAACACTGACACTTCCAACTGCTGTCCCACTATAAACTACACATATTCTTATATGTTCTAAACGAACTGTTCTGACGAGACCGCCCTTTTCGAGCGTTACACTTCTTCCCGTTAGGCCAGATCATGGAGAGCTATTTTTCCTTGCATTTACGGTTATCAGTTTAGATATGTCATTTTCTTGCTCTGTTTAGATGCAATGTTATGCAACAATAGCACTATGAAATATATGACAGTCACATGGCCTCGTCTCGTCGAGAGCAATAGAAGGCGACACCTTGGATGTACATATGCTTTGGCGTTGTCCCCATGCCCAATGCTCCCTTACCTCCCTCTTTTTCACCCTTCTCGACCCTCTGACTAGGCAGGCTGGCTCACCCCCCCCCCCCCCCCCCCCCCAGCTTCAACTCGTTGATACACTACTGCTCCTACTGGTACAGCATGTCCATGCTGTACCGGGTGAGCACTGGTGGCCCCAATCAAGCACCGGACTATGGTGTAACTAATAAAGGTTCCCTCTCTCTCTCTTTCTCTGTCTCTCAAGAGAGCAGTGGATATCCCACACGTTTGGCTTTGGCGCAAACGACAAAGATAACGCAGTCCGTGTCAGAAACCCAAGTCTGGCTTGCAGCTTGCTCAAATGGTGTCTCTGAACAGAGCCGAATTAGCGCCTGAAGCCCCTCTACAAGCTCGCAGAGAGCAGGTGGCCGCAAAGGCTTGAAAGTCCTACTTTGTCAATGAGAGGCGAAGATTAACTCACTCCCGAGATTGTATTCGTCTCATGCAGTTTCCTTGCTTTTCTGTCTTAGCATAACTCAACAAAGGGTGAAAGCTACTGCCCTTGTGGGCCAGTCTGAGCGACGGAGCTAAGCACGTGCCAAAATTCCACAGGAGGAGTACTTGAAGACATTACGTTGTCACATGCATTGTTCTTACACGCCCCGATTGGCTTGCTGATGCCGTAGCTTTTGCATTTTCCCAAGTTCGGAAAAACGAAGAATTACTGTTTCCAGATTCTTTCCTGCTAGCTTCATGGACTGGACCAGCACTATGCTACAGAACAACACTTTTGAAGCAACAAATAAATAAGCACGAAGTTATCATATTGACACAGTAATTCGCAACCGTGTTGGGGAAGGATGCTCCAGTCACTTTGTTTCTCAGAGCTAAGAGTTCAGAAAACTGCATACACCTACTTTATCTTGCATGCACCAATGCCTTGTTGCTATCTTAAAAATGAGCTTAGCTATGCCAGCTAAGTTGATGCTGGGCAATCTTTTTGAGAAGAAACAAACACCAACTGCTTCAAGTGCACTGTCAACGTCGACAGTACAGTTGGCACCTTCAGCTCAGACATCCTCGTTTTTTTACCTGGTCTAGTCTCTGCGTGTGACCTTCAAGCCCATCAAAACAGGGGCCGATATCAAAATGACGAAAATCAAAATGTAAAGGCCAAACATTGAAACGTCGAAAAATAAAATGCCGAACAGCAAAACGCCGAAAGGTGAGAATGCGTACATATCTGATCGCCATATTTGGTACGGTATTGGCAGATGCTAGCTGCACCAGTGTGTTGGAATCATGGAAGTGTCTTCTGCAAAATTAGGAGCATGAAAAATGTGCAAGCTGCGCTCGAAGACGATATCGAGGCAGAAATCAGATTAGAACCTCGCCATCTACCACACAAGAAGCAAAGCATGCGAGAAGAGAGCCTGACAGCCGCTTTGGGCAACTGGGACAAGCTCAACATCCTTAGCTTTCTTTGGGAAATACACACAAACTATTAGATCATAGTCAACAAACAAAGAATTCCTCTGGCAGAACAAATGTTTCTTCCACTTTCTCAATCTAGAACCCTGTAGGTTCGTGTTGAACATAATATTTTGGAATTGTTTGGTCTCTGGTACCGGGTGATTCGGCTAATAGAGATTTCGGCGGTTTGTTCTTTCAGCATTTCGATAATGCATCCTTTCAATTTTTGGGTGTCCCAAGCGAGTGCAATGTTCTCTGGTCAAAACAATCAAAAACTTGAGAACGATGACATAGGCACAGATTGCTGTTGAGTCCATGGATGCCACTATGTCTTTCCTCTAGAAGGCAAGTGGAGACTTATATTCCAACCCTATTGGCAAAAGTCATATACTCCAGTATCCAAATTGTCAGAAGGGGCTTTAGACGGTGTTTGTATGCTTTTTGGTCAAGAAACTACACAAAAAGGCAGTCATTGAAGGCTCATTGCTCTGGTTCGTGCACCGTTTACAATGCAATGGCAATGCGAACTAGAAACCTTCCATTCGCCCAGCGATGCAAAGTTTCCCCCCTCCCCCCCCCCACACACACACACCAGCAATGTAAAACACCCCCCTGAAACAAATTTCTGGCTATGCCACTGCAGGCCATGCACTCAAAAAAAAAAAAAAATTTCCTCCTTCCCATACTATAATTGTCAAGGCAGTGCAGCCATATGGGGGGCGTACCATACTGATTTACGATTTATTTTTCCGCAGATATTGTCCACTTAGGGGTCGGTAGGTGTGTCGACCTCCTCAACGTAGTCCCCCTGGAGACGAACGCACTGGTTCTAGTAGTGTGGCAGCCTTTCCGTTCCGAGACCACTCTTTGGGAGTGCTTCGCACCCACGCCTGGACAGCCGCTTCGAGTTCACCAGTGTCCATGAAATAGGGTCCTCATAGGTGGTTTTTTTCATGGTGCTGAATGGCTGATGGTCACTGCGGGCTAGGTTGAGGGAGTACGGTGAATGTAGGGATGGGCATTGTCATGCTGCAAGAGCGTACCTGCCGCCCCTTTCCCTGGCAGCTTCTCGTGAATCGCGCAATCACCTGAGGGTAGCCACATACGGGGCGATGTTGATGGTGGTGGCCGGTTACATGCAGTCAATGAGCATAATGCCCTCCGTATTCAGAAAGCCACGTGAGGATGTCTTTGCGGACATTGATGACTCGGAGGCATCTGTCCAGGCGTGGCTGAGACACACTTATAAACAGTGCAGGAATGTGATTGCTGCGCCAATTGCGCCAAACTGCACCAAGGGGCTAACTTTGCTACATCCTGCTACATTTCACCGAAATATGGCTAATCCGTGCCAAGCCTGCGCCAAAGAAGCAATTTTGGTCGCCTTTCATAAACGAAACGAAACTGAGAACCGTAATTGAGCATGCGTAAGCTAGGTCGCACAAGACGCCACCCGACACAAAGTACCCTGTATTAATCGTCTATTTGGTCTTGCATGATTTTTCCCCACGTCTCGCGTTTCGTGCACTCGTCGTCTCAGGAATCTCGTCTCGCGTCTTTTTTTTTTTTTTAGCGGTAGACACGGGCGTGTGCGGACTCTCAGACGTTAGTGTATCGGGTGCCAAACATGCCGTCATGCTGTGAGACAAAACCACGTTTTTGCGCGGCGGGAGTTACTTTTTGAGCTGAAGCGCTCGCGCGACGTCGTGTGTTGCCGTCCCCACGTCGCTGCAGATATGGCGCTTACTAAACTGAAACGCATCGACATTCCTGCTCTTGTTTAAATCATACGCTGCTATAAAAATCCCTCTCTAACTCAATGACTGCTTGGCAAAGTTTTGATTACTTAGGTTTTTCCTGGTGGGCTTTCTTTCGAGAGGGACCCCGGTACGTGAAAAATCTGCCGCAAAAGAAAGTTGGTGAAGAGAAGTGAGCTAAAGCAAAGAAGGCAATGTCTGCACGCTGAACCCGCACAGCGTGCTTGTTTGTCTCGAGTTCAGTCGTTGCACGAAGCGCTCCAAGAACTTTTTTGACCTTGATTCGCAGTGTCTTGCATCGATACGCTCAGGTTCTTTTTTTCTGTGTGTTTAGCCTGTACCTCGCCTGCCGGCCTGGCAAGCACAAGTCGCTGGACTGTTTATTGTCGTATGCTGGACAGTTACATTTTGCATACTATTTTGGGAACCATGCAGTTGGCGACGGAGCGCGGAGTGGCATGGTTTCGGTTTCGGTCGAACAGCCGTTGTCTCCGCCCGCGCGACGAAGCACGTGTAACTGCAAGCCTGCCGAAGTTGCCCTTACGTGCATGTGAACATCATTGCAACAAAGGCACCAGCCGGGACGCTTGCAATGCGTTGTTTTACGTTTGCTTACTTTTTTTATAAAAATCTGCCACGTCAAGAATTTTGGCGGTGCCAGAAGAGTCCATGTGCGTATGGCAGCTGCCTAATTTGCTGTGCCAAGAGCTGCACAATAGTTTGTGCTCACTTGATTGTCACAAGGGGGGACGCCACAACAGCCACACTTGCATCTGCTCGTTTTCTCTGTCGTAACTTTGCCGGCATCTGACAGCATGACACTTTGGCTCCCGTAACATATTTTGTTGCCACTTTGGGACGGCTTTTGGTCCATGGGAGGTATATAGGGCAGTAAACACCCCAGTCAGAGACATGTCAAGGCGTCCTGCCCTCCAATCCTTCCTAGCTTCGATCCCTTAATCCCCTGATCTAGTTGAAAAGCCAAAATCTCAAGGTGGGGTGATAATTATTGGGTGTCTGGGTCTTGATTTACACTATTTTTGGATGCAGATACCAGACACCCTGAAGCCGGTGGATGATCATCTCGACATGTTCCTTGTGGTGCCAGCAACACTTGCACTGCTGGTGTGGCATTCTTTGCACGCTATGCTGGGATAGTTTTTTAGGAGTGCCATGTCTGGACAGCTTATTCAGAAGCAGGCTGTCGTCGTCGAGATCCATGCTTTTTTTTTAACGGATGATGTTGCAGTGCCCACATGGGTGAGTATGACAGAAAGGATTCGAGATTGGAATAGGTCACCAAACAGTATCGCATCATTTTTCGTTAAAATATTTTTCTAACAACACTATTCATTGAAATAAACACTGAAATTCAAAGTTTCTCGTGCAAGAATGGGGAGGCCTGGGGGTGCTCATATGTATCCCCACTACTCTGATGATAGTAGTGTCACCTCTAAATCAACACAGCATAATGGAAGACATATCGCAGTCTAAAACGGGAAAAAATGTTGATATATGTGTCTTGCAGATGCGTATATGACCAAATAGCAAATGATTGCGGTGCCCTGAGCCCTAAGGTATTCAGGACCAATAAACACATGGGGGTGGTAGCAGCTGTCATGGCAAATGGAAGCTGTCAGAATGACATGTCGGATATTGACACGGATTGTGTCGGAGAGACATGAAATCACAACTGCTGGAGCCACTCCAGTATTGCATGAGCACTTCAGCTCGTATGTTTACACCAAAACTGTTCTGTGCGAGCTTCATAGAACACTCATGGCCAGGCTGCTATTCTCAAATCCCTAATCACCAGTACCAATGCCAAGCTTCGGCAGTGCCAGCAGCACTTTAGACAATGTTAAATTGGGACGTTCTCTGATGAGTTCACATTCCCTGGCACTTGTGTGCAGGAAACCTTTGCAGTAGGTGTGTGCGAATATTGGTTCAAATTGAATAGTATGTTTGCCATAACCTTTGCGCTGCAAAGGGAAGCCGATGCAACCGGCTCTTTTTGCGCTGTTGATGCTAGAAACGACAGTGCACTATTTGATTCAAACCAATATTTGCACACCACTGCTTTACAGGCTTACGAACTGCACTGTTTTGTCCCAAATTAAACAACATCATATGGGGAGCTTTCCACTGTTCTGGATGAATGGCTCCCATTCCCTCTGGCCAGTGCACATAATTTTCATGTGTCCTTCCCAATCCGCTGGGTAGGGTTGAATTCCGAGTCTTCCGGATTTATACAAAAGCCGCAATTCAAAAGGTCCTGGACGAACCGGGCCGTAGTTTGTCGTAGGTAGGTGGGGTCGCTGTGCGCAAAAAGTAAGTTGTCTACATGGGACCAGGCCCATAGCCCTCTGGCCCTGGCCTCTCGAGTGAGCGCTGTGGCGAGGTGCTGCATCAGAAAGGGGGCTATACGTATACCGAAGGGTAAAACTATAGCGGTAGTAGACGTCGTCGAGTCTGAAGCAGGTGATGGGTCGGGTTTGTTCATGGAGAGTGAAGTGGTAAAATGCATCTTTGAGGTCCACCTTGGTAAAGCAAGGCAGGGGGCAGGGGTCAATGGTCTTGAACCCAAGACCATTGACAAAGATCCTGAAGTTGAAACATTTACAAAGTTTTTCGTTGTTCATTCGCTCTTTGAACAAAAACCTGTTGCAAAGATGTCGCCTTTTGTTGCAAAGGTACTGGAAAACCTTGTCGGGTTCTCCTACAAGTCTAAAAAGCAGCACTCCGGAGACCTTTTAGTGGAGATAACCACCGAAAAACAAAGTGAAGCAATCCTGAAGCTGACCAGTTTTCTCCATGTCAAAGTGTCGGTTAGCCCTCACCGCACGCTCAACACCATTCGTAGGGTCCTCTCCGAGGACGACTCCTTGCACACTAGTGAGGAAGAACTCCTCGAGGGACTCCAAGGTGTGGGTGTTGTTGCCATTAAGCGTATTATATTCCGGAAAAATGGTGAGGAAATCCCTTCCAAACACGTCACTCTTACATTTGAACAACACACACTGCCAGAAACCATCAAGGCAGGATACCTTAATTGCCGCATCCGCCCCTATGCTCCCAACCCCCAGCGGTGCTTCCGTTGCCAACGCTTTGGCCACGGATCGCGCAGCTGTCGAGATATGAGCCACGACACAAATGGCATCATCAAGCAATAAAACTAAAATCGGAGCAAACTCTGATTCAATATAGAAAATAGGATAGAAAAAAAATGTGAAGCAAATAATATTCACTTTAGAAAAAAAAAAAGAATTGCAAGTTGCACTGTGTCTTGTCTTTCTTCAAATTTCACCAAAACTTGTACCATTAAACTCGTGCTCATACATTGACCACGACACCACTCATTCTGAGTAACAAAAGATGTCTAACTGAGTAACGAAAGATGTATAATTTTGACGATTTTGAATTCTTATAGTCAATGCAGTTGGCAAGAGAACGTGTGGAAATGTTTTTTTTTTTTTTTTTTAAATGCTGGAGAAAGAACGTCTAGGAAAATTATGTGTGTGGAGAGAAGGTCCCGAGCAGAGCTGCGGGGCCTTCCCACTCAGAAAGGCTACCTTATTTTACTGGGGCAAAACACTATTTTACAAGGCTATGAACAAATGTGCGAATAAAAATTGCCAATTGCCAAACAATCTCCAAAAATAATGAAGACTGGTTGGGTTTTTACAACTGGAAGTACCCGAATTTCAAGTTTCAAATATCCCTGAATCAGCAATATTTTTACAGGCTCATATTCATCAAATTTTTACGACATCCATTTTAGAACACAAAACCATGTGAATAACTGATCGTAAATGCACAAGCCAGTATCTTAGTTCACCTTTTGAAGGGGAACTTTGTAACACTCTTAAGGAGTTGAAGATTTAATATGGTCTTGGAGGTGAAATTGGGTAGTACAAGGGGAAGGAGCGTTGTCATGCAGCTGTATATAGCTCTGTCTTCTCCCCCCCAAGATCATTAATATTATGATTTAAACAGCCTCAAATATGTATGTCTGATCAACACAACATAAAAACAGACTTCCTTCGACTTTAAGGGCAACATACTTCTTGGCTGAGAATGCATTTACCTTCACAACACGATTGGTCATTTGCACGCAAGAAAAGTTTCTGGTCATCATAGGGAAATTTATAAGCACCGATGGACATCTGAACTCCTGAACATAAAATAATACAGAGCTTTCAGATTGATCAGGTGCGTGACAGTCCTGCGTTCTCGAAAAAATAAACAATTCTTCCCAAAACATGGCTTTTATCATCACACACTGCCTCTACGTAAGAGTTCAGCCAACGAGACTTGTCCAGCCGCTCAACACAAAACAGGACTCCGTTCATTCTAACCTTACTGACGGAGATGCTTTCAGGAGATACGTCAGATTTGCCATAAAAGACACAGCCAGACAGGCATGCATACCTAGGCAAACCTCACTCATGACGGCCCTCACTCATCCTCATCTTCACAGGTGAAGTGAGGATGAGTGAGTTTCTGAACCTGGAAAATTCATGAGTGTGAGGGTTAGTGAGGGCCGTGAGGGCTGTGAGGACCGTGAGGGCTGTGAGGACCGTGAGGACCGTGAGTTTGTGAGGGGTGTGAGGGCCATGAGGGCGGTGAGTGGCGTGAGGGCCATGAGTGTGTGAGGGGTGTGAGGACGGTGAGTGTGTGAGGTGTGTGAGGGCCGAGAGGGCGGTGAGTGCATGAGTGGTGTGAGGGCCTTGAGTGCGTGAGGGGCGGTGAGTGCGTGAGGCCCCATTCAATTGGAGCAACTTTCTCAGCAATTTTGGTGTTGATGGCGGGTTGTTCCCCGGCTTCTCCTAGATCGACATGAATTGCTGAGATCGGGTCCGGCTTCAAATAAGCGAACAACTCTGAGCAATTCGAACATGTTTGAAGTGGCTGCATCCAATGAGGGACGCAATATTTTCACGTGACACCTCGTGCCGGTGATGATGATAACAAAAGACTTGGTTCTGGATTGAAATTGATCATTTTTGGAAGCAGGGCGGTGAGGGCCATGAGTGTGTGAGGGCCGTGAGGGCGGTGAGGTTCAGTGAGGGTGAGTGAAGGGCTGAAGGTTAAGTGTGACTGTGAGGGTGAGTGAGGGGCTGAAGGTGAGTGGGGCTGTGAGGGTGAGTGAGGGTGACCTAAAGTGCCGACCTCTGCTTTCATGTAGCGAATTTCTTCAACTTATAGTGTTTGATCAATGTTGTCATTAAATGACCAGCAGGCGGTTGAGAAAAAAGAAGTATTACGGCTACATTGCTTTGGCAGAGCTGACATATAATAAGGTACTTCCCTACAATCTGCCAGTGTGCATACTGCATACCATTGACAAGCATGACAATGGAACCGTTCATGTTTTCAAATGGATAGGCTGAATAGTTCCACAATGGTCCCCATTCTCTTGCAGAGTCAACAAGATGCTAAAGAAGGTGTGCATTGTATGAGATGTTTTTTTGCCATAGTTTTTCATATTCCTTTAGAAAAAAAGTTTCATTTGTTTTGGAACACTTCAAAGCTCATCTATAGGTATGGATTCCTTCAAAAGAAAATGCATCAAATAAACAAACCACCCAGTTCTTGTTGTGCACAGGCGGAAGAAGTCCCCTAAGAGCAACTGGAAAAAAATACAGCAACTGATTGCGCCATTCCGAGGACTTCCAGTACCGCTTGTGCACCAAAGAATGAGGGAGACTTGACATCTCATGAATTAGTTGAAGGCTCAGCAACCTACTGTCAACGAGAAAGAGAGATCTTACCTTCTGTGCTAAATGGGAATGCTCTCTTGCATTCAAACCACGTGCGTGTCGTGTGCTTTACAAATTCCGAACACGCAGCATCCATGTAGTCGACTACGACGCCTGTAGGAAACTTAAAAAAAGCTAGGAGCAGGAGAACAGACACGCCTTCAATGCCACTACATGGTGTGGCATTGCACTCTGCTTTCTCGGCGTTCATCTGAAAAGATGGATGCATTCTCGTAGTCTCATTAATTGAGACTGGGTACACGTGGCAATGGCCTTTTCCTTTCACAACAACCTCCCCTTTGTGTTCGCACCATGCACACCTATATGCTCCGTTAAACTGTGTCATGTTCATAACCAT